GGAGAAATGATAAATGGAGCACTAATTTTTAGGACTTCAACTGATATTTCATCATATCCATGTGATCTTTTTCTTTTCAGAGTTTTAATAATTTTATATAACTCAGTCGTTGTTGCTGCCTGGTATTTAATACTAGGAAAAGGATGTTCAAATGCTGACCGCAAATAGTCTAATGGCTCAGTATTAGTTTTAAAATTTTTACTTATGTTATTCTCAGCCATAGTTAAAAATATACTATTTAAGGAGTCGGCAATATCTTGCTTATTTCTAATAAGCTCCCCTTTAACTTTTAGTTCCTGTATTGTATCTTCTTTAGTTAACCTCCCAGTTACAGATTTAGTAATATTCCAGATAGTTCTTATTTTGTTACTAGATTTTAATACCTGACTACTATAATACTTCTTTTTGGCTTCTCTTATAACACTTTTTAATATCTTACAATACTGCCTGTAATAATTCTTAAAAACCACATCATTGGTACTCCTGTATAATAAATAAAGGTCTCTTTTATGCCTGCAGGAAATACCTATACCTAGGGTAATCCATGAATTATTATGAGGTTTAATTACCTGTCTTTTTAAGGGGAAACTAGAATAAAATATTCTAAGAAATGAATTTAGAAAGGAATTATACATTATATTTATATCATCAATACCAAAAACTGTGTCCCAAGTTTCAAAACTCAAATTGTATTTAAAGTCCTGCACAGTGGCCTGGTCAATTTTCCTAATCATTTTCCCACACCTTACGCTACCCTTCTTAATATGAGCTTTAACCTCTGTTAAAACAATTGAGCATCGTGGTTGGAGAGTCCATTAAATCTTCTGGGATGTAACACTGTGCAGTCTGTTGAAAGTCAGTCAACATTTTGACCCTTAGACAGAGGCAGTGTGTTCCTGCTAAACTTTGGTTGACTTTCATTGGGCTGAAAAGCTTATATCTTAGAAGATAGAACTCCTCATAACCACCATTGTGAGAACCTCATATCTGACATGACCCTTACACAGAATTATACACTTATTGCTCAGAGATGTCCAACCATAAACTGAATATAGATGTGGCAATTCTGATTATGCAGACGTAATGCTTTATGCATTTTTACTTGTATATTTAAATTAACAAAATTTCTGCCTGTCATAGTCAAGTGTTTTTTTGTGAATGTGGTTTTTGATATAGGGGATTTCAGTTTGTTCGAATTATTGTACCTGCTACAGCAGGTAGCGTAGTTGGTCGAGGCACTGTGCTACAAGCTGGAAGGTCGCGGATTCGAGTCCCAATGAGGTGGGTTTTTTTTTTTTTTTCAGTTGACCTAATCCTTCCAACCACACTGTGGGCCTGCGGTTGACTCAGCCTGTAACAGAAAAGTCCCAGAAATCTGCCTGGGGGTAAAGAGCGGCTGGGGCATAAGGCTGACAGCCTTACCACCATCTGTGAGCTAATTTTCTAGAGAAAATGTGAGAGCCTCAGCGTCTCAATCCTATGGGCCTTCATTGCCTGTTACAGGGATGGTGTTACTTTACCTTTACAGCATTGATGCCATGGGTAAATGGTGGTGTTGAAGTTAAAGGAATGTAATGTTTGTCTTACAATATGTTTCATGTCAACACAGCAGTTCACATACCTGCCTTGTATTTTCGTAAAATTTTGTTAGCTTGTCGAGTCTGATAATTAAGTGATAAATATAAAATTTTACTTTCTGAAGTTAGTTACTTTCAGAAATGTGGCATTTTGGAAACGAGATTTTGTTGTCTCTCATTTTGAATCACTTAAAACATTTTTATCTCTGGTCCTAATCATGACAGGAAACTCATTGTTGTATTAACTTAAAGCTCTTCAGTAGGGTTCATGGCGCTATATAGCATAAACTCTCACAGTTCTAAGGCCTTTACCCCACTAATATATTGAGTTCTTTCTTCCAATTTTTATAGATTTTCTGCAGCTGTTAGTCTAATTACATCTGGTTTTCTTGACATACCATCACAGCCTTATAATTCAGCACTCCCCTCTTATAAAGTTCATGCAGAAATGACATATCAGTTCAACTCTTTTAAAGTGAAATGTGACTGTTCCTTCCATTATCTTGGCAAAAGGCAAAGAAGGCTTATTATTGGGATCTAAAAACAAATTGTACCAATCTCTTCTGCAGGACTAAGTGGCAAAGGACTTTCTCTAAAATATCTTTTACTTGCTGTAGATGGGTGTAGATCTAGTGAAACAGGCTCCTTCTACAGGAGGTAATGTACTGTAGGATGTCGGTTCTGGTACTTGGAGTGACAACCACAGAAGTTTCTATAGCACATATTTATAGGTGTTAGAAGAAGAGCATACAGATGGCAGGCAGAGTGGGGCCCTGAGAAGGGCAGTAACTGTAGGGTAATGTGAGCCTGAGGAATGGTGGTGAAGCTCCACCTGCAGTGGGCTGGCTTGTGCTAGCGATGGTGGTGGTTTGCATATTTATCCCCTGTTGCTATTGGTGCCCAGCCAAATGGGCATTGGCGCTACCATGGTCTGCATTGATTGGCTAGTGCCTGCTTCGCTCTGCCAATCAAGCAGAAGTTGGTAGTTGATCTGGAGATGTGTTGTGGTAGACACCCACAATACCAGTACAGAAGTTGTTAGGTACTGCAGTTAGGGGAGCAAATTAAAATTAGTTATCTTTGGTCTATCAGGGAAGTTGAATTGTGCACTAAGATAGAGTTAGGTAGGATGATATTGTGCACCAAAAGGCATGCACATTTCCTTCTCAGAATAAGAGAGGGAGAAATTATTTGAAGGGAAATGTTTTAAAGGAGCCAATAATATAATAAGGATTTGTTTTCTTATACTTACATGAAACATGTGAACTAACTTCTTACTTTATAATGTTTGGTATACTTTGTTGCTTTCAGTTGTGGTCTCTTTGTCCATATTGGTTTCTAGTCATGTGGCAAGATTGGAGCTCTGTTTATTACTGGTGATACAGTGATGGCTGGCAGAACTCTGCACCAGATCGTTGAGGCGGTTTGGTGTTTCCCATTAAGACTTCAGTGTTCTGGGATGTGATGTGCCTGGCAGATGTTTTTTTTTTATTGCTAGTGGGGTGGGACTAAGTCCCTTGTACTGCAGCCACTTCTGGCCTATTGTACCAGCCCCAGATGTAGGTGAGGGTGACTGTGGAGCAATTGGTGGAATGAAGATTTGCAGGGGAAACTGAAGTACATATAGAAAACCTGCCCCAGCGCCACTTTGTCCACCACAAATCCCAGCCAGTGGCTAACCGCTTGAGCTATGGTGCGGCCTGCCAGATGGTTACCAATATTTCAGGTAAACCTGCTGCCTCCATATTCAGTGCAGTAGAAGGTGAAGGCATCAGATTCCTGCAAGACATTGGTAACTGTTTGCTAGACTATACAACATCACATCCCAGAAGACTGCACATTAAATGTTCACTGCCATGAAAATTTCCTATTTTGTATAGTATTTGTCTTATTTAGCAAGTGTTTACTTTGCCAACAGAAGTGAAGGACAAAGAAGGCATCCAGAAATATTTGGACTAGTTCCACATATTCTTGAACTCTAGCCTTTCAATGTGAAAGGTTAGTGCTTAAGCCCTAGGTCACCAGGTCAGCGGGAACTTAATATAGGAACCATTGATTTATTTGGGAAAAGAGAATTTAATCTTGATCCCTTATATTGTATTACTGATATGATTAGTTGATAAATTTACTGAGAACTGTGCATCACTGCATGGGAAGGGTATCTATTATATCTGGGAAATTACAGAGCAATGCGCATGCCGTACTGTCTTGATTTATGTTTTATATTGTCCTGTCATTTCAGGGCATATGCTTGACTGTTTCTTTTCCATATCTTGTCACTTTGTACTTTGTCATTGGCTGTCGTCCACAGCTGCACTTTATAGATCATGGGAAAATAGCATGACATTTGCCTCTGTTGAATGTTGTGGTCTAGTTGGTAGAACTCTTCATATTCAGGGGGTCTCAGGTTCAAATTATGACTCAAAGACCGGCCATTCTGGCAGGTCTTCTGTGCCTTTCCTCAGTTCTCCCAAGCAAATGCCCAAATTTGGCCATAAGACTTCTTTGTTAACATATTTTCCAATTTCTTATTCACTAATCACTCGACTATTCGACGTTAATATTCTGAGCTATTGACAGTGCTGTTAAATAACCCATAAATAAATACATATCGTGTACTCCTTATTAACCATGCTAATGAAATGGATGCAGGAGTAGTCAGAAGACAGGTAATCTGTATAGACGTATGAATTCAGGTGGGAAGAAGCATCATTTTATTGTTATCGAGCATAAGATACTTTAGTAATCTTCAGGTGTGGCAGAGAGGCCATGGCGATCGGTGAATACAGAAATTCAGAAATGTACACAAAGTGATATGTACAGTTATCTTGACAGCTGTAAGAATTACAGAAATAGTAAATTGAATTTGAAGTGGGGTTTCATTTTTATCCAGAACTTTTGTGTGAAACATTTTTCTCACATAAATATTTAGTGTGTGATTGTGGTTGTTAAAATTGTCTGAACAAAACTACAGTATAACATTTCATGAACATGCAAGAGTTTCTTGAGTTCTTTCATATTAGCAGACTGAATGAACTTAATAGGTGTCCTGCAGGGTTGTGAACACATCCAAAAATGTACATAGATAAACTACAAGTCAGGTAATCAGGAATATACTATACTTTCCTGTCATACATCACGTTTGTTGCATGCCATTTTGATCCAAAGCTAGTAACAATTTGGTATGTGAGTAGTGGTAACATGCAGTTAAAATACCTTCAGTTATAAAGAGTAGAACAGAGTACCATGTATTTTGAGAATTACTTGCACTCTGACAATACAGGTTTTTTTGCTGTTGTGAATTAATGGATGGAATCAGACAGAATTGGCATGGGTTCTTTATTATTATACTGTTAACCAGCTGTAATGCATAATTTGTTGTTAATCTGCAAGTTTCATGTGCAGTGGTGGTATTTGTTACAGAAATTGAAAGCATCTGCCTATATACTGTATGAAAATGTAGCAGATAAGATTCCATACATAAAGTTCTTCAAAGGTAGGTTTTGAGCACATGTACAAATAGTGTGACAATTTATATGTTTGTATTGGAACTGAAATACATTAAGTACAGAAATCCAGATAAAAAGTATTGTTCAGAGTTCAGTTCGGTTTCTGGTTTATGTAGGGAGTCAGTGTTGAGTCCCTGTTGACATATTCCATACCTGTATCTTTCAGACATCTACTTATCTAACACATGCTGCATTTGAGAAACAAGGTTTCATTTCCCAGTCCTTATTGTGAAGCCTTGCGGAAGAAAAGGCAAAACATTAAAATCTATATACACAGTTTGTACATACGATGATGTGACACCTGAGATCCAGAAGGAATCATCTGTTATCTGGTAATGGCCAACCCAGCAACCTCCAATTGCAGTTGAAGCCTGAAGTTCCCACCTGGAATTTCTTTGTCCCACTAAGATCAATTGAAATGGAGGCTGACTGTGGAGATAACGCGGACAACACCACTGAGCATCAGCAACATCAGGCACCAGCCATGAAGTAAACTGATACAGTAGCAAAGGCAACTGAAGGGCTTACTGAAAGGCAACTTTGAGTTCCGTAAGACCAGAAGTGGGACTGGAGCTGTCACGAAAGAAATGGGGGATTTTTCAGCCATCTGCTCTCACTCTGAGAACAATAACCCTGTGACTGGTGAAGATTTTTCTTATTTAAATTATTTATGCCCTTACATGTTTCGATCTTCAGAGACCATTATCAGAGGGACACCTTTACATTAATACAGTTAGAAGCCACTATTACAATACATGTTCTAAAAGTTAAAATGTATACAGGCAATATTAATAATATACAATTGGGTATAATATCTAAGGTCTTTACAACTACAGTGGCTCTTCCAATATGTTAAAATATTTATAATTGGTTTGTTAAGACTCCATTGGAATTTGTAAACCAAGGTGGTTCGTGTTGTCCCTCTTATTATTTCTTTTGACGGGGGTCGAATGTGTGCCGCCTTGTCGTTCTCGAGAAGAGGGTTCTGCAAATACGGGTATATTACGGGTATATTCTATTATTTTAGCAATCCTATTATGTTTTGTAAAAGCCTTTGTTATTTCATCCCACCTTTGATATTGTCCTGTATGTGTTTATGGTGCGCTGTGTTATTTTTACTGTTCTAGGATGAGTTTTACCGCATATTTATACTTCTTGTGTCTATGACATTAGTGTGGATGTGTACTGATGTTGTATTATGAGGTCAAACATGTTATGCTGATTATCACTTTCCTTTGTGTGTTTTTGTTCTTCTATCAATTTGTTGAGCTTATTAAAGTGCTATATATATGGAAGTTTTCTTTTATATTCATGATGCTCCCTTTTTTGGTGTTCTCAGCCATTTCCATGATTACTGTCATCGGTCCATACTGGTGGCATTTATTTAGTATTAAAACTTAAAACTCCATGATTTTAGTCCATAAGCGAACTATACCGACCGAGCGACCGCCACTTGTCAGCGAAGTTTTGTGCCAACTTTTGCGGATAGAGGGTGCCATGTGGTCAGTGCAACGAATCCCCACGGACATTAATTTCGGTTTTCTAGACTGGAGCCGCTATTTCCTTGAAATAGCTCCCCAGTTATCATCACAAGGCTGAGTGGACCCCGTTTCAGACCCACTACTTCTCAGAAAAAATCTGGTAGCGCCGGGATTTGAACCTGGACCTCTGGATCTGTAGCTGAGAACGCTGGCCACTAGACCACAGAGGCGGTAATTCATTTAGTATATGTTGGGCAAATGACAATTCTTCTTTGTTTAGTCTTATATTTCTTATGAGTTCCTTGTACCTTGTTAGATTTATACCAGTTTGACCACTGTATACTTTATGGCAGCTTTGGCAGATTATTTTGTATATCCCACTTTGTTTCTCGTTTTTCATTTACTAGTTTACCTATAATGAGAGTTGTTTTAAATGCTATCTTTATATTGGTGTTTTTGAAGAGTTTTTTTATTTTTCATATGTAAGTTTGTTATATAGTTGTATGATGTCTTCCTTCTTATAGTCATTATTTAATGCTATATTAATAATAGTATTTAACTCTTTTTTGTAAAATTCGCATAGTGGAGGGTGGAGTCCAGTTAGGTCCACTCGGCAGAGCAGCCACTGATTGGCCTATTGTACCTGCCCCAGGTGATTATGATGATGGAGAATATTGTGGAATGAAGATTGGCAGGGGAAACTGAAGTACTCAGAGAAAAACATGGGTTTGAACCTGGGCTGCTGTGGTGGGGAGCCAGCGACTAACCACTTGAGCTATGGCGCAGACTATTTAACTCTTTGTTTTTAGCATTTTCCTTGAGGGGTAGTGTGAGAAGTCTGTGTATTCAGTTTTTGTATGCTGCTAATTTTTGTTCTTTAGTTTGGCAAGAGTTATTATTTATTGCTGCATCTGTCATCGTGAGTGTTCTGTATATTTCCATTTCTATTTGTCCGTGTTTGTTAATTAGGTATAAGTTTAAATATGCTCTTTGGTTGTTTACTCCCTAATTTATTGTGAATTGCAAGTTTTTATATTGTGCATTGACGTGTTTGAGGAGGCTTTGGGGGCGTTGTTTTTGTCTGATTATAATATTATGAAAATGTCATCTTCGTATCTAATGTAGTGTATAATTTTTTCATCTTCCAGCAGATGTTTTATTCTGTTTTGTTCTAGACCTTGTAGGAAATTTTCTGCCATAGTACTTGTTAAAGGTGAGCCCAATGCTACGCCTGATCTTGGTTTGTAGAATTTTTCATTATATTGAAAATAGTTTTGATTCAATATCATCCTAAGTATGGACATGATTTCTTTTATAATGCTTTTGTCCACGTGGTTATCTTTGAGTAATTTATTAGTTACAAGGAGTGTATAGTTGATTGGGATATTAACATAGAGGTCCTTAATATCCATCGTTAATAATTTATGATCCGGATTTAGTTTTAGTTTCCTTATATTTCCTGCAGAATATGTTGTGTTAATGATGTTGTATTCGTATTTTAATTTAAGGCAGTTGTTTAGTTTTTGGTGTATATATTTACCTAATTTATGTGTGGGTGCAATAGTGTAGTTTATAATCGGTCTGATTACGGCTTCTGGTTTGTGGATTTTAATTTTTGCTTTCAGTTTGGGTGCTTGTGGGTTCATTTGGAGTACCTGTTTTCTTTTTATTGGGTCATATTTTTACATTGTTTTAGAATATTTTGTAGTATTCTCTGAAATTTTTGGGTAGAATCTGTTTTTAGCTCGGCAATGTTATTATTTTCTATAAAAGATTTGACTTTATCATTCAGGTCTTGTTTATAAATAATGACAAAGGGTCTCTTATGATGATGGTCTCTGAAGACCGAAACATGTAAGGGCATAAATAATTGAAATAAGAAAAATCTTCACCAGTCACCTTAGATGGAACTGTGTAACTTTTCATGATGTAATTTTTGTGTTTTAAGACAGCAGATGAGAAGACAGAAGGTTCTGGACTGAATGGTAGCAAGCATTACTTGAGTGCAAGCTCTTCTTAGTTTCCCCCTGAATTTGGTTTGATTTGTTATAGTCATTCCCAAATATCTGAACTGTGTCACATTTTCAAAACATCTGTGACATATCTTTAGGAGGCACGCAGTAGCGTAGTTGGTTGAAGCACTATGCTACAAGCCGGAAGGTCATGGGATCAAATCCTGATGAGGTCATTAGATTTTTTTCAATTTACCTAATCTTTCAAACTGCACTATGGCCCTTGGGTCGACCCAGCCTCTAACAGAAATAAGTACCAGAAATATTCTTGGAATGTCTATGAGCTGATTGTCTAGAAAATGTGGGAACATCAATGTCTCACAACCTTATGGGCCTCCACGGCCTGTTACAAGGATACCTTTACTTTTACTTATCCATCTTTATGTCATGATTTTGTCCTGCATTCTGGTGATGAAACAGCAACATATGCAAATTGCACTCGGCATTCAAAATTTCGTACATGTACAATTACATAACTGACTTATGCTTGATGTATTATTATTATTATTTCTTTATTCCATTACATCTATAGTAGGCAAAAGCCTTAGATACAGAATTGTGTCAATTTATCTTGCTAATACTCATAAGCAATTGTCAAGAAGACTTATAAAATAAGACAATGCATGTTTACATCATAATACAAATTGTCTCTATCATAATACTTTCAAATTTATCATTGATTAAAATTTAAGATAAAAGTTTTCATCAAAAGTAACAGAATATCTTATACATATATAACAAATCCAAGATATAAAAACATTACATTTATAAAATTACAAAATTAAAATTTCATGATGACTACATATCATTTGTCCCTAGTCCAATAAAACATACAATCAGGCCTCGTACAGACAGCCCAAGTTGTCAGGATAACACACACAGGTCGCGGGAAAACCACTGTCAAATTCACAACTTGCCATTCCACATACTGGTAGGCCATATCATCCAACTATTCAGATTAGAAAACATTAGTTGTATAATCATTATCTCTTAAAATATTCATAAAGTGTATAAAAAGAGTTTAAATACAGAAATTCCTTCAAATTGTTTTTAAACTTATTTATATCATTAGAAATTACTTTAATTTTATTAGGTAGTGCATTGTAAATCCTTACGGCCATGTGAATTACCCCATTACCATATTTCACCAAATTTACCTGGCTCATATGTATGTCCATATTATGTCTAGTGTTTATATCATAGCAATAGTAATCCTGAACCACGTAAATCCAAATATGTGTGGTATTGTAGAGGGCAAAGTGATGCATAGGAAGCATTAGAAAGCGCAGATATACTTGTGCTGAAACTACAGTGCAGCAATATGGTCCCTACACAGAAAGACTAGCCCCTCCCCTCATAGAAGAGGTGGTGTCATTTCTAAACATGTGCGCATGTAGGAGAGAACAAAAATCTTGGTCTGAAGCCAGGAATGACCGTGCTGATGAAGACCAGCAGCAATTTAACCAATCAACCAGCCGACCATGAGACAGAAAA